CAGCGAGGGCTGCCGGGCCGAGCTGGCGGCGATCATCGTGTACGCGAGGGTGCTGGCGCTGCACCCCGACCCCTACGGCGCCTACAACTACCTGCCCTGGCAGAGGGGTCCCCCCGGCAGCCCCCAGCAAGGAGCGGGGGGGCTCTTCTACTCGGCAGAGATCGAGCTGCTGTGCGACCAGGCGTGGGGCAGCATGCTGGAGGTACCCGCCGGCTCCCGCCTCAACCTCACCGGCCTCGGCTACTTCTCCTGCCACTCGCATACCGTCATGCAGGGCTACGCTTATTTCTTCTTCCTCCGGTGAGTCCTGGGATGGGGGAGGATCCGGGGGGAATCTGGCTCCGCGGCATCCCCGCGGCCGGGGGGATGCGCGCCCGCCCGTGCCCGGGAGGGTTCGCTCCGTCCCGCCGCCGCTCTCCCCGCAGCGGCTTCTCCTTTGCGCGTCCACTCACAGTTTCATCGAGAAAACGAACAGCCAAACCCCATAATATTCCAGCATTGCCGGGCAGCTGATGTGCGGGGAGCTGCTGTTGAGTAGCTCCTGGGTGTTGCTGCTTTTGTTTTTATGGCGGGGGGGGGGCAGGAGAGGAGCCAGTGCCTGTTCGCCGAAGTTTGGCGTGAGAGTTTGAAACTCATCCCCGAATACTCACCCGATAGCTTTCTCCCGGCTCTCCCGAGTCACAGCCAAATCCTGACTTTGGGCTCATCGAAAAAAATGAGAAAATTAACCACAATGTGGGAACAGAGCCATCACCGTGACCTTTCAATCCAAGAAATTCGGATTGAATTTGTTTGTGAAATACAACTCAGTGGCTCGTTTCGGTATATTCTTACACCGGCTGTGTAATGAAACACGATTTGATGCCGTCTAGTGCTCCGTCTGTGGCAAAGTCTTCAAGTACGTTTTAGACAAGTTATTTATTACTGACTACTTGAAGGAGTACTTAAACTCCGTGATCAAGGGCAAAGTGATGCAAATTCAGTAGGAACCACGGGCCAAAATATACATTTGCCTCATTCACGGGGTTTCATTGATGTCTGCAGGGTGGTAGGAACCTGTTAGGTCCTTACTGCTGCTGCCTGGTCTGGTCCTCCATGGTGGAAATTGCCGTCTTGGCTGCCAAGTGCCAGGAGAGCTGAGCCACATGCTGTCTAAAAGTCTGTCTGTGCAACTTTGGTGGCACTTGTTGAGCCAGGCTGAAATACGACGGGTGACTTCTGCAGGAGAGGAAGCGCCAGTCAGCCTCGCCTCACAGCGGGCTGCCCGTGCAATTTGTGTTTCAGAATGGACGAGAACTACATCCTCCTGCCGCACGGAGTCAACTTCCAGGAGGCGATCTTCCCCGACACCCAGGAGAACAGGAGGATGTTTGCCAGCCTCTTCCAGTTTTCTAACTGCTCGCAGGCACAGCATGTGTTGAGCTTCTCCAGTGACTGGGAAATTCAAGAGGACAACCGGGTAAGGGATTTATTTGCTCCCCAGGGCTTGTTTCCTAAGTGGGCACAGGCATTCCCTTTTCCCTTGCAAATGTATCTATATATGAATGCAGAGCAGCAGGTCCTTGATTTTCCTGGTCCTTTGGTGGTATCACTGGCAAAGTAACACACTAGTGGGGAGGTGTTAAACTCTATTTTCAAAGGTGACCTCTGTGTTAGCTCTTTAGCTTTGCGTGGACCTGAGTAAAGCTTGCTATCCACCTGTTCATGAGCAATAGGTTGGAAAGCAGTATTGCTTCCTATACTGTCTTACTCCACCTGGGTTATTCCTGAGTTTGCTCTCTCTAGACTCCATACTTTAACTTCAGCTGAAATGTTCAGGAGCAGAGCCTTGCTTTTTTACTTCTGCGTTCAACTCCAGTAGTGAGAGCGGCGCCTGGACCACGACAGGCTCTAAAGGATTATTCTTGCCTAACTCCACACAACAGCATAAACATCTAGTTCTGAATTCATCACCCAAAGCTGTCTTTATAGTGGCTGGGAAGAATAGACTTTTGAGGGCACAGTTAGTCTGAGTGATGAGGGCACGGTTCGTCTGGGCTGTGCCAGCACCTACTTCTGAACAAGCTGGATGAAATGCCTCTTTCTCCTCGCAAGAGAGGCCGCAGCCAGTAGTTCACCCTCTAGGCAATCCTCCCAAAAAGTACATTTTTGGTATGGAAAGTCCAACCATGGCCATTGTTAGTGGCTTCTGAGCCCCTTTATGGGGCTGTAGTCTGTGTAATAAATGCAGGATTTCAATAAATGCTTCCTTGGCAGTGAGGAGCAACCTGCAGTTGTGTGTGTGCATGTTCTGGATGTGCACACACAGTTACAAAAGTGGAACTTGGAGAGTTGTTTTAGTGCCAAACCTCGTTTTATGAGGCTGGTGGTTTCCACTGGCAACCAAGAACATTTTAAGCATTTCTTTAGGTCAGGATGGACAAGGACATGTGTCATTGCTTGTGTCTTCTGTGGATTCTTCCAAGACACAATATTTACGTATGGCAGCAGGTGCACTAGTGGCTTGTTTGGGAGATGGATGGAGGGAGCTCTACTGGTAGCTGGCTGAGCCCTTTCCCTTCTGCAGCTGGCCGACCGCCAGCGTACAAAGTTTGAGCTGCTGCATGGCCGTCTGGAGAGTGACACAACCCTGCTCCTTGGGATGCCCCGTGAGAGAGTGTTTCCTCACTGCTGGTATTTTGGGGAGGGAGTGAGGAATGGTGATGTTCAAATATATATCTGGAGATAACAGCAGGGGTAGCTGGCTGAGCCCTTTCCCTTCTGCAGCTGGCCGACCGCCAGCGTACAAAGTTTGAGCTGCTGCATGGCCGTCTGGAGAGTGACACAACCCTGCTCCTTGGGATGCCCCGTGAGAGAGTGTTTCCTCACTGCTGGTATTTTGGGGAGGGAGTGAGGAATGGTGATGTTCAAATATATATCTGGAGATAACAGCAGGACAATCCTGGCTGGGCAAGAAGGGGGAGACGGGGAGCCCTGGTCCCAGCCCTGCCTCCTCCCTGCCAGCCCGCAGGCTCCCCAGTGCTCCAAGCAACGTATTTGGCACGTAAAGGCTCTGCCGCTGCCAAATCCACAGATTTTGCTCCGGGGGAGCAAGGTGGCATTGGGGAGCCACCAGATCCAACTCCCAGAGTCTGCTTGTGATGCCTCTCCATTGTTTATTTAGCTGAGCTAAATGCAGGGGATCTTGATGGTTTGGTGCTCGTTCATGCCAGCAGCGAGTCTCGCCAGTTGGCTTTAATGGGAATCACAAGGCAGAAACCTCCAGGGTAGGCTGGAGCAACCGAAAGCATATGTATCAAAAGTGCAATTCAGCTGTTGCGCTCTCTGACCCCGCGCAGCTGTGAGCAGATTGAGGGGGGATTAGAGCTGCTGGTCGCGCAGACCGGGGCTGGGGGCTTTACGTACTTCAACACCCACCCGTCGAGGGAATAAATTCAGCGCAACTGACGGACACTTTGTCTCCCCTTCGTAATGAAAAGTAAAAGCTTCCTCTGCACCAGTTCAAAATAGTTCAGGCTGACTGTGCTCCCATTCAGCTCCTGCGTCTGTGTTTGCCCAGCCGAGCGCCGGCTCCCGGCGCCTCCGTGCTCCCGCCTGGGAAGGGGATGATGTTTCTGGCTGCCACATTACTAGGAATTTGTTCCTAAGCTCTTCCCAGTGCAGATGTCCATGTCCAGGGTGCAGCTCTCTAGCATTTTGCCTCTCTCTTTGCCTTGTCACCTCCGACAGTGTCTTTCCTGATTGCCACCGCATCTGCTCGCATCCTATCACAGTGCAAACAATTTCCATTCCCAAACACACTTGGCCAAGCTGTCCCTTGCCAAGTCCTGAGCTGAAACCTGTAATGTGCGCCAGGGTCGTGGCACACACAAAGTGAGCATTATTTGGAGCATTGCTCTTGAAGCTTTTTGGAAAAGAGGCTCTTAGGGAGCCTTGGGACACCCAGGGGAGGCTTCTGCGCTGGTGTCAAGTTGTGGAGATCTTGGACAGAGAGGGAAGGGTCTTCTGATGAGGCTCACACTGCAGTGAGGCATCAGAATTCTCACTAGCTGCTGCATACTGACATAAATTTCTAGTTAAAATCCATCACGGATGTTTTGTGTAGTCAGAGGGAAGAGATGGAGACACTGAGATCCTCAGATCAGAAGACAGATGGAGTGAAGGTCTGGTTCCAGGAGTTAGTAGTTAAGGTCCTGCCACTGGGTCTTGAGACAGCTGCATGCAGGAACATCTTAAAGAGTGGGTCTGTCAAAAAGCAGCGTGCCTCAGTAGGTCTGGGATAAAGGAGGGATGAAATCTCCTGTTTGCAGCTGGATCTTCTACTCCAAAAGACTTTTTGAATCACTGTATTTGCTCCTGGCCCTGTGCCCTATTCTTGATCTATTTCTGGGATGGACATTTTAAGGCAGAATTTGGCACTGGAAGCATGTGCAGTTGCAATGAATAATTCATGTTTGTAGCTCTGAGGTGATAGAGCCCCGTGATGGGTGAACGTCTTTAGCCTCACGTAATGCTGCTCCCAAGGAGAGGTCCGTTCTGCAGAGCATGCCTGAGCCAGCCATGGAGCAGGGGACCCAAAGGTGACCACTGATGTGCTGTCCTCCTGCTCACCCTCTTCTCTCTGCCATGCCCCTTGCATGCAGGCTGTCTTGTCTGGGCTGTCTCATGGGGTGAAATGAGGAAAACCCTGATGGCTCCTTCTCCTCCACCCAGCAATCGTGTCTGATGATGCAAAAGAGGGCAAAGAGATGTGCAGGAACTTCTTGATGCACTGGAGTGCACAACCAGCCTTTTTGATCACAGGAAAGCCCTTTTAGTTTTCGGAAAAGCCCCATGGTGCATGGCAAAAGGAGGCCAGATCCAAGGCACATCTCGAGGACAATACATTCCTCATCCTGGGCCTGCTGTTGTCACTGGAAGCTAATTCCATCTGCATCTTTAAGCCCCTTGCTGTCTGGGCTGACGGCCAGACGCCGCTTTCCAATAGCCCCACAGTCTCATAAGTTCACTCAGGTGCTTGTTCTGGCGACTCTGGAGAGCAACCGTAGCTCCGGTCGGCGTTTCTTTAGGTGCTCACGTTTTAGCTTCCAGGTTAGCAGAGGCAGTAATTAATTGGGCTCCGTCCTGACTATTCTCACAGCCCCTTAGTGACGTTTGCAGACCTCCTGCCTTACTCCGACTCACTGTCACAGCGGTTTCTGCAAGGTTGTTGCTAAAGCCCTGAGTTCCCACCAGGTTTGGGGTTGGAGCTGCGTTTGTAACGAGTGGCTGCAACTTCTTGTGGAGTGAGGAGCCCCTTTATGCAGCATGTTGCAGGTACCTGGGTCTCAGGTTTGGCCCAGCCCCAGAGCTGATGTTGGTGGAGATAATAACACTGGAATGCTCCTTTTTCTGCTTCAGAGTTACAGTTTTAGTCGATTCTTCCCTCCATCCACCCCTGGGAGAAATGCAGTATTCGCCTATCCAAGGATTCCTGCAGTCACAGCAGTTTTGTTTAATAAGGTGCTTTTATTAAAGAAAGGAACAATCAAGAAGTAATAAAAAACTCATTAAAATTCTTAAAAGCTCCATGTTTTGGCCCAAGTCTCATGTCAACCCCCTAAGGGAAGACCCACAGAGTTTGCTCCTGCACGGGCATGCCAGGCTGTCCCGTACCCATCAACGGGCAGCCTCTGGGTTACCCCTGCCTCAGGAAACCACCCCAGATGCCTCTTTTCCTTTACCCTCTGCTTCCCCCAGTGTCCCTAAAATTGCTCACAAACCCTTGCCTGCCTCCCAGTTATTCTCTGGTGCAGCCAGTGGTGCTGATGTTTCATTACTGACGCTTTTAGGGAACAGCTTTGCGAATTTTTCTTGCTCAAAAGGAGTCTGAGGGGTCCGACCTTTTTTTGGGAGATGGGGATGAGCATTTGGTGATGCAACCAGCACCCTCCTCCAGGGATGGAGAGGGGGAACAGGAAAATCCTGAAGGCCCAGAGAGCATCTGTATGTGCCAATGCCTCTTTCCCATGCCAAATTTTTCTAATGGCTGAGTGCTAAACGACATTTTTCTACGCACAGGAGGTCGATTTCTGCTTGCCCAAGCTGGGAGATGGGAATCAGCTCTGCAGCTTCCCCCTTTCAAGGTGCCTGCTGTTAAGCCTGGGGATGATGCAGTGGGTTGGGACTGAAATCTTGGCCCCCCTGCAGATTTCTATCATTTTCGTGCAAATCTAGAGGCTCTAATTTCTCCTCCTGACTTGGCCTTCTGCAGGGTGGTGCAATCTCATAAATAAGACCTCATTGCATTGTCTGCAGACGAGGGATTACACCGAAGTGACTCTAGTTCTGGTGATAATAAGGTCTGTAGAAGTGTCAAACAGTGCTTGTAGTTATCTATTATTCAGAGGGGCTTTAACTCCTGGTTTAGTCAACAGGTTGATAGGGAAACGTGGTCTTTTGGCCTCCCCTTTTATTCACGTTGCAAAATGACCCCATGTGCATCATAACGAGGGAATAACAGTGATGTGTCAAACTGATCGTGAGCAACTGTGAGAGCACTAGCACTGTGATAAAGCCCACGGAAATTAAGGAGTTCAATAACTTCAATTAAGCTCGGCAAAACTGCAGGGGAGATTATATCTTGTTAGTAACCTCTCTCCCTGCATTGCCTCTTCTCCTCTCGAGCATCAGAGCCACAACCATGCTGTTATTTCAATTGATTTAGATGAATGGACTTGCCTTCTGAGAGACCTCCAGAGATCTATCTGGGTAATAATAAAACTTTTATGAGAGTAGTCAGTGACCCAAATGAAAAGCAAGGTAATTAGTGTGTTAGCAGAGCAGTCTACAAATACCTGCTTAGCATCTTTGGGCCTAGGTCCTCTTCTCCGGTGGCACTTCGGTTCCTGCTACAACCTGATGCCCTGATTAGGACACCTGCAAGGCTTTGGAGCAGCTGAAAAAGGAACCGGATTAGAAAGCAATGTAATAATGGCCTTGCCATTATGCAAAGCAAAAATTAAATTAAATGGCATTCTTCCTCTGTGGAAGTAGAGGAAATGGTTTCAGAGCTATTTGTATTTTAGCAACAGCCGTGTGCATGAACTGAGAGCCACTGGGTCGGATCATTCCCTTAACCCATCTGCGAGCAGAACATTTGCTCAGCAATGGCCTCTGCCTGTCTCTTCCCTGATGATCTCAACCAAGCGAATGATAGTGGCTCTCGTTCAGCGACGCTTCACATGGCCATGAGAGCTTAAATCATGGAGAAATAGCAGCTTACACAAAAGCTCTTTGGGCTACCAGAGAAGGGCTTGAATAACTTTTGCTGTGGAGACCTGTTTTGCTCCATCTCCCCAGCTAACGTGTCCTTGGAGAGGGGAAAAGAAGAAGGAAAGTTGGAGAAGTCCCCATCATTTTTCTGACCTCCCTGATTTTGAGTCTAGACAGTGATTAAATAGCATCAGGGCTAGAAAGTGTGGATGGGTCCCTGCTAGAGAGGTGCCTGTGGCATCTCTAGAGAGAGTTGGAGCTGCGTTGGATGCAGGGACCGAGCTCTTCCTGCTGTGGCTGAGATGGACATCTGTGATGCTGAAGGTGACCTCGCTACATAAATCATGCAAATCCTGGCCACTAGAAAAAAGTGCTGATAACCATAACGGTTTTCAGCTGAAATTTCATCCATGGTATCCATTGAGATAAAATGAAATAACAGTTTGGTTTTGGTCTTTTAAAAGTTAATCACTTCTGCTCTTGAGGAGTTCCCTCTCTGCTTCGAGTGCTTTGAGAGGAATTGAAGGACTGGAAAATGCCAGTCATGGAGTCCAGAGCCAGCAGTTTTAGGGGAAAGAGAAAACAGGCAGCAGC